CCCCCCCCCCCCAACCGTCCTTCCACTTAGCAGGGGATGAAGGGAATATGAATATTTCAATATCCCACCCCCCACTTACCTACAAACGGAACCAGACCCTCTTCCTCATAATCGAGAAGATCCTCCTCGCCCGTGCAACGCTTCATCCCGGGCGGTACGGAAGGACCGAAGCTGCATTTGTGATGCTGCGACCAAAATTCCCGGAACCACGTGTTACGGCAGTTTATTATTTTCCCAGGAAGCTGCGGATGAGGCACGTTTTTCTCAGCTTGCCCGTTGCACTCGTCGCCCATACGTGGACGTAGATTATTGTAGTATGCGTCAAATTCTAAAAAAAAAAAATATACATTTATAGACATTAAAAAATTCATAAGTGATACGAGATAAATTTGGATAAAACATTTTTAGAATAATTTCAAATTATTTATCGTCCGCGGTATATCTGTTTATCCGTTCATCCTTCCAAGTAGCTATACCGTAATAGCTCAGCCCCATATACATATATATTCGACTAATAGAAATCAGCGATGAAATTGATGATCTGTCAAGTAGAATTGGGAACGTCTGCGTTATACTGGTTCTAAGAGTGTTTCTCACCACCAAGATTAATTGGGGTCCGAGAAGAAGTGGCCTGGTAGATCCATCGAGGGGGCGCGAGGGGGCGAGAGGGGGCGCGAGGTGATAGAGGCCAGAGAAAGTTTTCGCGATAAAACGTTCGTAGCCGGCGAATGCGCCTGGATATATATGGTCCATCGTGTTCTCGCGACAATGCAGGATTTTGTCTATGGCAATCTCATTCGCTCCCCCTCTCTCCTCGTACCAACGAGAAAACCAGAGACAGAGGGAAGGCGCGAAAGTTTGTATAAAAGTATAAGGGGGATAATGGAAGGGCTTCGGAATCTAATAGAACCTTCGCCATACGAAACGACTCGCATAAACGAGCTGAGAATGACGGACGCTTTTCGCGAAGGATTACGAGTCGATTCGCTTGAAATTGATCGTTCGCCAAAATCCCAAGTAGAAGTAACGCTGGATCGGGGCTGAGAATTTAGATCGTTTCTGGACCGAGAACTTCTCGCAGCATCCGCCTTCGTTCCTTTTACTTTATACAATTTTCTCGAGAAATTCTTGATATTAAGAACCCGGAGGGGTGTGTGCGTGTACGTGAGAGAGAGAGAGAGAGAGAGACCAAAGTTTATTATACTAGGGCAGGTTGCCCTGGAAGTATAAAATACAGAACAGTGTTCAAGAAAAAAATTGATAATGATAATAACATAATAAAATAATACATATTTACATAAATATAATTAATAGTAATAGTAAGATTACCGCTAATATGAGGAAACTACGCTAGCTATATACATGTTTATAGTTAAACGCTAAGAAGCCACGCATGCAGCGCATTTTTGAAAGGTGGCACGGCGGTTATCTCACGGATGCTGCTAGGTACGGAGTTCCAAAACATAATCCCAGATATAAGAACTGACTTTTGGTAAGTTGAGGTGCGACAGCGGGGAACGACAAGGTCGAGGGGATGTGATCTTGTCACAGGCGCAGTAGCATCTCTGGAGGAACAAATCAGCTATCTTGGAAGTTCACTGAATAAATCAGTGGTGCAAGCCTAACGTTTTATAATCGCGCCGCTCCAGGCCTGCTGGATCACATAATTTTGCATACTGAGCGAATCGATATTCAAGAAAATTGAGATTACTTGCCAATCTCATTCAAATTATTGACAATCGATACCGAATACCATTATTATTCTCACCTATAATAATCTTAGCACTGTGCTCTCTTGAGACTTTGAAATTTTGATCTTAATAATGACTTGCAAGGTGTACGTTAGATAGATTAGATGAATTCCCCTGAAATGTAATATATTTCAGGGAAAAGGACCAGATCCAATTAATAATTAATGTGAAAAATCTCTTACTATCTATCAAAATGAATATTTGCCTGGTTGTCATTGGCCCTGGACCGAGCATTAGGTAAATGAGAACCTCACGTCAGTTGCCCAATGACAAGAAGAGTAATGAAGGTGATTGCTGATACTAAATTTTAGATTGGAGTATAAAAATTGTGTACAAATCATAATTAACCGCTAAACTATTATACATCCGATTTTTCGATATATCACTGTAGCATCTTGCAGACAGTTCATTAATTGTCCACTCGCGAGAAATCCCATCGGTCCAAATCCTTTTCGAGGAGCGTCGCAGGATCCTTCATTTCCATTATTTATAAAGGACGCCTGAGTTATGGGTATACCTTGAAGTGAGTTCCTAAAGGGTAGTATCGTGATGGCGCCTTCGGCAGCGAATTCCTGGTCTCGTACAGGATAAACCTTGGCACCCCAGGAGTCACTACCAACCCACATGAAGTGACCAGTTCGATTGGCTCTGACCGTAGCCTGAAGAAGTTTCCTGAAAGAAGAAAGGAAAAGGGACAATTCATTATTTCGCATAATGCACCAGGTGGATCGTTGAATAATATTTAAAAAAAAACTGTAAAAAAAATGGTCCATATCATTTTCCATAAAATTGCCGAGTCTTTCGGGAAGTTCGGATCGATGATGAATTCGGTGACGTCAGGATGGCTGAAGAGGTAATTCCGATGCTTGGAATCTCGTTAGGAAAGGACAGCAAGTATTGGTTGACGGTGGGAACCGGTCGATGGGTCGAGCAAGTTCCTGGCCAATCCAAAGAGCCGATCCTCCTTAATCGAGAAGATTGGAAGGACTAGGGTCACGATGGCTGCAGGGCTGAAGCAATTACCTTGGGATCAAAGCTGGATTTCGCTGTAATAAACGATAACATTGGGACAGACGATTCCATGAATCGCCAATTATCTCCACAAGTGCTACCACTACCTTTGCAACGACCAAGGATATATATATATAGAATAAGAGATACTATGCTACGATGGTACCAGGGCTATCTTCCGATAACGCCTGGGACCATTGATAATTAAGGGACCACTTGATTTTGTTAAAGAGCGTTATATCCTCACTGTCCCTTTGCCTCGGTGGGACATTTGGATTTAGATTTGATAACACCGAAAACTCCTAACTTCATGGTGTTGATCTCGTCAGGGACATTCTCGTGTGTCTAGGGAATTTTATTGGCACGTATTGTAACACTGACTTTAATGAAGTTTTTTTTTTAAACACTTTTTTCTACCTTTTTGTTTGGACTAATAACAATAAAAAGAGTGATTACAGTGAAAAAGTAGATATCACAGACATCCCATAAGTCTCGTTCGTTTCCGGTAGGAACTTAGTCGCCATTTTTTCTCGGAAACTTTCTGTCAGATTGTCCCGCTCGTCTAGTCGCTCTCGCGTTTCCTCTTTCGGCCATGATGGAGTGGAGGAAAAATAAAGGAGCAAGAGAAGAAGGAAGGCGGAAGGGAAATGCTCGGCTTGGTTTTCCAACTCGGATCACGTTACGGGTATACAGTAGAAACGTTCCCGTAAGAGCCAGACAAGTCGTCACGTTACTCCTAAACGAGTTTCGCGTCTGACACGATAATTCAGCTACTACTGACTATTACCGTATAGAAGAATCGGCACGCGGTAAATTCAAACGACACAAGACAATTTTAACGAACAACAAAAATGCTAAATATTATTTATTAACAATTTGTGTTAACTTCGATAATAATTTTCGATAAATCATAATTTCAATTAATTCAACGTAATTTAAGATTGCGTCATAATAAATTCAGTACCGAATTAATTGGTCTCACGGGTAATTATAAAGCACCCTATAAATTTGTAACCCCGCTAACGATGTGGCTACTGACCGGTGTAAATTTTTCAAACAAAAGAATCGTATTTCCCCTTTGGGATTATCGAGCGAACTCTGTATTAACCAATTCGATTTGTCACCGGTACCTCTGTCGGCTGGTCCAATTGTACTTGAGGACGGTGCGAATAATGATTCACGTAGTAAACTTAATGACGGTAGCATCGTCACGTGACGATCGTGGGTCTGGATTTAGGATTGAGGTTATGTCGAATGTCGTCGTCAAAATTTCTTAGACTTTCTTTTCCTACGTAAATAATGACTATGAGAAAACGTCTATTGCACTAGGATACGTAACAACGCCCACAGGACGTGACTCTTTGTCGTGGACGAAATTTAGTGTGTAAAATAAAAAAAAAAGATCTTGATGCTACTCATGGGGACTGCGGAGGACTTCTCATTGTTTCCAGGGAGAACAATGCGATGGTCGAAAGGAAGAAAACGTACGGGAACGACATGCCAGAATGTTCTGGGTACGATCAATTTTTGTTTTTACAAGAGAATTTGATCTTATTTTTATATATGTAAAATGTATGCGTATACATGTGCATTATTCATATTTATCATTATATTTCAAATATTTTCTACCCGCTGCACCGGCAATCGTTTCCGATAAGAATTACGAAGGATTTATGGGTAATTTTAGTTCGCCAAACTTTTGACTCACGTAGTAAGAAAATGGCGTCGCACCTCGAGACTTTATATACGTGCAGGCGTTGCATTCGCTAGAAGTTCGTACTTTAGAAAAAGTGTTTAAAGGTGGAAAAGGCGGGGGAAAAAAAGATAGAAAAAAAGCCAAAAAATTCTCATGGAGTAAACTTTTTCTCCTAGCTTTCCGTATTTTACGTGATTTCACGTAAGTACATATGTCGTAACACATGTATCTCTAGTATAGTATATATGAAATACGTACGAGAGGTTATGGAATCTTTCGTAAACAGGAATGACGTAACTCGTCCTAGAAAAGTATAATCGGTCCAAGCTTAAGATTCCCAATGCGTGGTCCACGCTTATGCATTTACATGAAACGGTGGTCAGTAGCCACTTGTAAATCACGTCAGGACGACTAAGGGAGGACATAGGAGCTTCTCATTGTGTTGGGATGAAAAGGTTTTCTTGATAAAAGGATAAGGGGATAGGATGACTTAACGGTCGGGATGGCCTCTTTAAGACTGTAACTCACGTAGAGGTTATCCGAAATGTCTTTTCTTTGTCAAAAAAAAGTCTTAGAATTTCACCGTGTCTCGGAAATTCCTTTTTTTTTTTATGCAGAACAATGGTAAACGGTTGTCAAAAATTTTGGAATTTTTTTTTGAAACTTTTTGTGCATGCACCATTAAATTTCGGGACGCTCGTCGAGTCAGATGTTTTTATGAAAAATGTCATTTTTAATTTTCTCTACCCACAGACCATCGAGCATTTCCATTTTCGTCTCGTTATTTTGGAAATTCGTGATTTTCGAAAAATCACAAAAATTCATATCGAGAGAGCTTATAGTGAATAACGAAATGCAGTGTTGGGTACTGCTAGTGTTTATCATAGTATGCCGTAGGTATATGTCAGTCATCCTATTCGGCTGAGGCCATTAGTGTGGGCAAGCGGAAAACGTTACCATGGAAACGCACCGGAAAACCCATACTTGAGGGAGGAGGGGTCGGGGGGCACGAAGTCTATAGCCGAGTAGCCGAAATCCGAGGACGCGTTTCGGATCCCTGCCACTTTGGGGTCTGTTATAAAGCGGCCTCTCGCCACGAGACAAATTGAGCGGTTCAATTACGTGGCAGCATACACATAGCGCCAGCATCAGATGCAGCGCGAAGCCTAAACTGAACAGGCGAAGCGTAGGATAGATCTAGTACCGAAAATTAAAATTTACGTACACAAAATTTGAATCACTTATTAGAAATTCGGACAATTTTTTAATAATAAAATCAATTTTTTTTTTACACACCAGTATTCCCTTCACACAGGTATTACTTGGCTGAATATTTTTCATTGACTACTCTAGTTCTTTTTTTTTCCCCCATCAAAGCAATCTTATAGTTCTGTTCTTTTGACTTACAAACCTTCTTCGTTATTGGTACACCTTGAATTTGACGTGCTCTCCCGCTCTCCCGCCGCAGCTTTGCGCGCTGAACTTATCGAGGCAGATATCGAGCTTCGTTGAGATAAAAGTCCCTTAAAGCTATACCGCACACCGGCTGGGAAAATCTTTATTCTAGGGACTTTCCAGTCTCCCGGTAAAGTCCCTAGGAGCGATCGCGACCCTAATGTGTTTTTCGTCTCTTATCGAGTGCCCGTAAATCTCGGACCGAAAGCGTCGGGAGCTTTTGGCGAGTCAAGTTTTCCCTCGTGTAAATCGTGTTTCTCGGGAAATGACGTAAGCTCACTCAGACGGAACTGAAATCCGAATAATTTGAATATCTCGGTTAAAAGTCCTGAGAGCTTGTCGTCCATTGGTGGATTACAGTCAAAGGAGGACGAAGGTATTAGGTAAGAGCGAGAGGAAAGCTGAGAAATAATGTGAATAATGTGAAAAAAAAAATATATACAGTCAAAGCAAAAATTACTTCGTAAAAACTTTTTTCCCTATCATCCCGGTAGACAAACCAGAATCATTTAATATTCCTTCCCCCAACGAGTGTCCGGGTCTCTTACCAATTGGTGGAATAGTCATTTAAGTCTATTACCGGGACTCAGTCTCGAGAGTAATGAAACCGTACTTTCCTGAAGAACGTCAGAAAATTAAGTTAGGAGTTTCTAGAAAAACGAGTTTACACAATTTTTATAGTATTTCATAAAAATACATTTTTACACATTTTTGCACGTACCAACGGGAACTTCGACAATTGAATTATTCCCAAGTGTCCTTTTCGGAATGACGAATAAACGAATCTTTAATGCCTGCCACGTATCTACGTGTAAGCGTATCGAGTGTCGAAGAAGCCAACAGCAGTCAACCGGAAAGGTTGACAAATGTTACGAATGGCTTGACGACAAAATTTTCAGTTACGCCCACCTCGCTACGAGAGAAACTTTGCCAAGGTGACGTACTTTTTTTTTTCATTTTCTTCTTTTTTTTTTCCTCTCGCAAAACTTCGTTTATTCAACTTTCGAGTTTCACCTTCAGTTTGCCTGTACTTATTCCCCGTCTGGAGAAGCAGGGCAGGCTTTTCTTTTGACGACCTTAAGAGGAATATTTTTTCAGTATCTCTCTCTATATATATATGTGCTAACAAATATATATTTCCATTTGTTTTCTCCTTTTTCATTGGACACGACAAAGTTCGATGGTTCACTGAATTTTTTGTCTCAGGCCACTGACAGACGCCTTCTTTATTGCCGCTCGATTTCTCTTTTGTCCCATTCTTTTCCTTTCACTTTTTACTGTCCTTTTTTTTCCCTTCGTGAAAGCCGATATATATATATATATATATATATATATATACAGTTGCAAAATCCACGACAAAGTCACGACAGTTAGTGAAGAATTTAAAAGGCATTACTTTGATCAGCGAGGTCGCTGAAGGAGTACACAATTTTTTCTAGGGGACTCAATCGCCTTAAACGCCACAAGGGGATGGCCCCTCCGAGCACCGCAATAATGTCGCGCGCGATAG